GCTGGGCCGCCGCCCTCCGCTGCCATCCGCGAGCGGCCCAGGTCCAGGCCAGTCGGGGGGCACAGCTTGGAGACCAAGTTCTTCATACTCAGGGAGCTCGATGGCTGTAGGGACCAGCATCAGCGATGGTCAGACGTCACCAGGCTGCCCCAGTTGGCCCGCCCCCCGCTGGGCCCCAGAAACCCACTCAGGGCCAGTGACTCAGGGCAAGTGGGGTGGGAGGTGGGCCAAGGAAGGTGCGTGAAGAAGCCAGTCCCTGGGTCCAGGACACTCTGGAGCCACAGGTCAGCACTCCCAAGGGCCGAGGGGCCCAGGGCATCTCCGTACCACCTGGGGTCACGGATGGGGCTTCTCCCAGGGGCCTGAGCTTCCTAGCACCCCATTAGGGCAGAGGGCTCCCCATGGGGCAGGGGGCATCCCCAGCACGTGACCCAGGGTAAGAGCGCTCACTCACACTACCGCTGGTAATCACGAAACCAGCAGCTTCTTAACGATAGTTCATAGGAAAGGCGTGAATATTCACAGCCTGCCCCTCCCTGGAGTCCCTCCATCTGCTGTCCGCCCAGCCCCACAGCTCTGCGGGGGCAGGGGAGGCCTCCCCAGAACCCGGGCCCTGCTTAGGGTGGCACACCAACCTTGGGAGCTGGAGGGGTTAGCAGGATGCGGAGGGATGGTGGAGAGAGAAGGGAATCGGGCTTGCCCAGCGTTCTCGGTGGTGTGGCTTCTGACGATCTGCAGCCGCTGCTGTGGGGGACACATGGACACATCTGCTGAGCCAGCTGCTGGGGCCCTCGGCCCTTCGTCCAGCCGAGGAAAGCAGAGCCTGAGCCCTGGGACGCCGTGGCCCATGTCAGGCCAGGGCAAGGTCGGGGGCCACACTGGGAGTGTGAGCTCTGAGTCCTTAGCAGACCTAGGGGGCCGCAGGAACCCCCGAAGTGGTGGTCAGCTGGACAGAAGCGCAGGTGGCCTGGGGACTCCACTTGCAGCTGGCCCCTGACATGGGGGCAATCTTGTAGAGGACAGAGGCCCTAACTGGTGGGGTCTACGCCAACTCTGGGTGGTTAGTGCCAGAACCGGGCTGCCGCACACCCAGCTGGCCTTAGATCAGCTACAGGAGAAACGGAACAGGAGGAAACGTCCAAGCTGAGACCCGAGGAATGGCAGTGGAAGAACTGTGCTGAGTGCTGGGGGACGGCACGGGCAAAGGCCCTGGGGCAGGGACCAGTTTGGCACATCCAAGACACAGCAAGGAGAGGAGGATGGAACAGAGACATAGACTTGGCCCAGGACCCTGCTTGTGGAAGACTTTGGCCGTTGGAAGGGGAGGGACTGTAGACAACCTTCCAGAACTTCCCCTGGTCCTATGGGTCTACTCTGCAAGAACAGCGTTTTCTAGCAGCCTCCTGTCGAGGCAGGTCATCAGCGACCGTAAGAACAAAGCATCACGCGTCACACCCAGGCTCCCTGATGAGTGGGCTCGCGCCCCTGACCTCTGCTCTCTCGTCTACGAAATCCGAGTGGTGATAAGCCGAGCTGCTGGGAAGACCGCTAGCTCACCGCTAGCTCGATGACAAGGGGTGTTTAAGCACCGTGTGAACCGCGGAGGCCTCTGGGGTGCTATCAGGAGAGTGCAGGGCCGCCTACCCCCATAGCCAGGACTCCAAACTAGAGACAAATGCCTGGCCTGCGTTTCCTCATGGTGAACCTCGAGCAAGCTCCTGGGCCCCTCCAGCCCTCTTGGCACCTGTGGAATAAGACTATGTATGTGCTTGGTGCAGGGTACCCCACAACCGTTGGAGCGCCCAGCCCCCTCCCACCGAGGGCCATGTCTGACGTGGGCAGCAACTTTTCCTAAGCCAGCTCCGGACTCAGGACATTGCCATGGGAACCCCCTTGGGGTCCGGGAGCAAACTGCACCCTCTCCTCGCCAGCCTGCCCCTTGTAGCTACAGGGACAGCAAGTCGAGGGCAGGGGGCATGTCCATCTTGTTCACTTCTTACTGCCTGGCATGGGTGCTCAATGAACACGTAGTGAGGTTTGCAGATACTCTGCTTGCCCGCCCAGTGGCCGCCCCCTCTCGCTGGGTAACGAGCGCCAGTGTGACTCAGCGTGACGACGTGGCCAGCCCTGAGACGTGGTCAGACTCAGCCCAAGCCTGTCACAGTCCCCCCTTCCCTTCTCTGTAGGGAACTGGCCTAGCAGAGAGCAGGTGACCCACTGACTTAGTGACATCTACAGGGGAAGCTTCTGGAAGGGATTTTTCTCCCCAATGAATAAGAGAGCCCAGCCCTCCCTTCCTCTTTAAGGTGTGGTTATATGGAGGTGTGATCTGTGGAGTTGTGGCAGCCTCTTCGACTCTAAGGGGAGACATTATTTACATGCCGGGGACATGGGCATCATCAAGTCATTTAAATCGTGGCCCCGAGTCCCCTCATCCTCCAAATTCTCGTCAGACAATACACACCTGTGTCGATTAGATCAATCTCACTGAGAAATCTGTTACCTGCAGCCAAAAGCATTCTGTCAGGACCGACAGCGACGGGAAAGCTAGAAGGGGTCTGGGGACAGAGGCCCAACTCTGGTACGGGAGCCCAGCGCTCCTGCGAGCCAGGCTGACCGGCTTCCTTCCTCCACCCCCTCGCGTCAGGTTGTCCTCGGGACGGCAGCCCTGCGTAGCGTGTCCCCACCACGTCAGGCACACGCAGCCCTGCATGGAGGTACCTGACCCCGTGCTTGACCAGGGACTCGAGCACCGGTCCGCCTGGCTGCCCAAGGCCCACAGGCAGGTCCCAGGGACTCGGCCCTGTTAGGGCGCCTGTGCCGGGCCTCAGCCGTTGCCATGGGAACTGGCAAGGGTGTCAGCGGCCCAGCCCGGCTGCCGGGAGACGCAGCTCCTCTCGTGCCGTCTGGAACATGGAGCCCGCGCTCCGGCTCACAGCCTGCAGGTGGCTTGGCCCGCTGTGTCGCCAGTCTGGGCCGCCGCAGGGCAGACCCCCTCCTCCCTACACTGAGGGCCGGAGGTGAAGGGCTCACTTCGCAACCGACCTGCGATCAGCCCCGGGTCAGAGTGGGGCCGAAACCCATCTTCTCTAACCTGTGGGTCACGCGGCCAGCTCAGGCAGGTGTGGGCCCAGGAGCAGATGGAAGAGGCATCTAGTCTTGACTGGGGGGATGGGGCACTTTGTCCTCATACGCACACGCACGTGCACACACATTCCCAAACACACGCACGCACGCACCGCACACATGCTCACACTTGCACACGTGAAGGTACCTGCACACCAAGAAGCACACGTACACGTGTGTGCATGCATGTATACACACACGTACACACACACACACACACACATGCACACCCCAAGGCTGGAGCCCTGCTGTTTTCATTCCCCCAAAGGGCAGGGATCAAGCCTAGGCTCCGGGGCCCTCGCTGCACCTGAGTTAGACGAACCAGCGGCACAGGAGTTTGGGGTCAAACTGGAGAACTGTGACCCTAGCAAGGATCAGAGGTGAGGCCGACGAAGTGTCGCTAGTTTTGCTGGGCATGCTAACTGCACTGTGGTCACGGACGGAGGTGTCCCAGCTGTAGAACTGCATCCTGACATCCTGGGGGGATGTGTCACGATGTGTGTGACCCGGGGGGCAGTGTGACCTGACCTGGGGCCTCCCAAAGCTCCTGCGCTGAAGCCCGCGACGCGACTGATCTGGAGAGGGCCCTTCGGGAGGTCGGCGTGGGGGGTTCCAAGTGCACAGGACTGCGTCCTTCGAGAGAGGAGGAGAGGGGTCTCTCCAGCACACGAGCACGCAGCACAGATGTCGTGTGCACAGGCCGGGGAGAGGTTCCTCGCCAGAAGTGCACCCCGCCGCCCCTCCACGGCGGCCGCCGGGCCTCCACAACCGTGAGAAGTAGGCGCCGGGTGTGAGCCCCCCGCCCGGGACATTCTATCAGGCAGACGAGCGGCTAAGACGGGGACACAACCTGGTCGATGCTAACATGAAAACCGGGGGCGAGTCTATGAGTGATGACTTTGCGGGTCTGCTCTGGTGGTGGAAGTCACCAAGACAAAAGTCAGCAGAAGAAAGCGGATAAGCATCGGCCGTGGGAAGCGGGGGGACGCGGCGGCCACGAGGGAACAAAACACACCCAAAGTGAAAGCGGCCCTTCTAGCAGCCAGCTCCCCAGCCTCGTAACCTCCCTGCGCAGACAGCACCTCTTGGGATGTGTGTGTTCATCTTAAACAGCCCTGCAAGGAAGGGACGGTAGACAGACTTCCCGACAGGAGACTCTGGGGCCACGAGCCCTGGGGCTGCACCCCGCCAGCCGAGGGCATGGCCATACCCGGGCGGGAGAGGGGAGGGCGTGGGTACCTGTCTGCCTGCAGCAGCATCCGTGGCAGCTCAACCTGGGCGCCCCACGGGAGGTCCTTCCTGCCGTCTGGCTGGTCGCGGCCGGCCTCGTCCGGTGGTGGGGGGGATATGTTCAGAACTAAGCCATCCTGGGGTCAGGCAGAGAGGCTCACTTCAGGCTGTGCCTCCCCAGCACAGAGACAGAAAGGACACTCTGTGCAAAGGGCGAGCGCCACGGAGCGCCAGGGCACAGCCTCGAGAAGCCACACACAGTCACCGTGTGACCCGGCAATCCCACCCCCGGGGAATGCACCCGAAGAACCGGAAGCAGGGACTCAAGCCGATGCTGCTCCACCCATGTTCATGGCAGCTTCACTCCCAACAGCCACGCGGTGGAAGCGCCCCACGTGCATCAGCAGACGGCTGGACAGATACGAGGCGGCCCATCCACACCGCGGAACATCCCTCAGCCTTAGAAAGGAAGGATGTTGTGATGCCAGCTCCTGCAGGGACAGCCCTGGGGGGCGTCGTGCTCAGTGAAAGAAGCCAGTCCCAGGAGGACAAGGACTATCAGGTCCCCAGGTCACCAAACCCATAAAGACAGAAAGTAGACGGTGGCGCAGGGGCTGCGTGCTCCCTGGAGACGGAGTTGCGGTTCAGTAGAACAGCTTTCCTGAGTTCTGGAAGCGCGTCTAGAGAAGTGCGCCTGGGGGTGGTCCTGGGGACCCTGACACGCACTACAGGACACATGGCAGGGGTGGGGAGGAGAGCCCCCAGCAGCCGTGTTCTGCGGGGAGCAGGGAGCTCTCAGATCCCATGGCCCCCAAAGGTACAGACAACGCGGGTACCAGGGACCTCTCACCCGGGGTGGGAAGCGGCTTTACACACCTTTGGATCCCTGGACCCTGCCCCGTGCCACACTTCTGGGCCACTGCCCCTTGCCCGCTCTGCCTGAAGCCTGGGGGGCTCTCTTTTCTCCCCTGAGAAGGTGAAGCAGGGGGGCAGGGGCAGCAGGCCCTAGCTGCAGGCAGGCGTCCAGCTGGTGACAACAGCAGTCCTCCGAAGACGGGATGCAGGGCCCTCCCCCCACCCTCTTCCCTGGGGAGCCCCCAGAATCGACCCCAGATGCCCCCACCATGCAGGAGACTGCCAGCACGCCCCAGAAGAGAGCTAAACCGACTGAGGTTCCCCAGAAGACGCCCCTCCCGGGGTCCCCGAGGCACCACGGTCCGCACCACGCTCTGGCTTCCTTCCCCTCCGCCCTCTGTCTCCCGCACAGAATCTGCAGCCGCCAAGGGGCACAGGCCTGTGGGGTGAAGGGCACACTGGCCCCGGGCTCAGCCCCGGAACACCCCCCTCGCAAAGCTTCAGGGCGCCCCCCGAAACCTCCCCAAAGCCCGGCCACTGGCTCGGGCGGCCTGGAGCTGCTGGTTCCGGCCCTCCCTGAGTTTCCTGCCCCTGTGTCAGGGTCAGTCCCCTCGCGGGGCTGGCGGGAGGGGCCCCAGGGCGACTCACCTGCAGGGAGCTGGACGTGACCGAGTGCAGCAACAAGAGACGGTTCAGCGAGCCCTCGCCCAGCTCCCGCGAGTACCGGCGAAAGCGCTGGTCCAGGGCCTCCGGCACCGGGATCTGCAGGACCCGGGAAAGCACACAGATGGCCAGACATCCCTACTTGGGCGAAAGACAGTGTCTTCTTTTTTTGGAAGTTTGAAGGCAGATATTCCAACCTGATAAAGGAGGATTTTCCAGAGACGGGGCTACCTGCACTCCCCCATGGATGGTCTGTGCCCCGTGTGTGCATCTGAGTGGATTTCTGACACTGTGCTTGGCCTTCCCTCTCATTGTGGAGTGTTTCACACCCGGGGCCGGGGGCTGGGGACAGGGCTGGGGACAGGGCCGGGGACAGGGCCGGGACAGGGGTTGGGGACAGGGGCCGGGGACAGGGCAGGGGACAGGGGTGGCTAAAGGCCGACGGGGGACAGGGCAGGGGACAGGGCTGGCTAAAGGCCGACGGGGGTCCCCTCCTATGCCCCGGGGACCGGGATTTCGTCCGAGCACGTGCGTGCGGCGCCCACCTCCCCCTTCTGGGACCGGGGCGGGGCGGCTCACCCTGAATCAGCTGCCACAGGTCGTGGATGAGCTGCTCGCAGAGCTACCAGCGCTGGTGGTGATGCTGGATCACGAAGTCCTTCTGACAGAGCAGGTGCCTCCGGCGGAGTTTGCCGGCCCGCAGCTCGGTGTTCTCCAGCTCCAGCTCGTGGGCCCGGCACAGCAGCCGCAGAACCTCCCGCTGGTCCTCGCTGATGACCTGCGTGGGCAGCAGCTTCTCCAGCTGCAGCGCCTTCCTCTTGGCGTTAGCCAGCCGCTGCTCCAGCCCGGCCTGCGGGGCACGGGGCGCTCGGGCGGGCGCCTGCGGTCCGTGCTCCCAGCCGGCGCGTGCCGCGGGGCTCGGCCTTGCACCCAAGCCTCACGAAAACGTGTGGCCATAGCCCTGCGCTAACCACGCCCTTTATCGTCTGCGTTCTGATGCTTTCACACCTGGGGCCTCGCCGACCCTGGAGGGACTGCCCCTCCCAAGGCGAGCTCGCTCCTGAGGATCCTAAACCACCCACCCAGGAGCACACGTCTCAAAAGCAGACCAACCAACCCAGAGCCTGCACCCCAACCCCCTCCTAAATGGGGCTCTCACGCTCTGGGCCACTGTCCCCCCCGCCCCCCCTGCCCTAATCCCCCAGGGACCAGACACCCAGGACAGCCCCTCAGCCCCAGAGCCCCCTGGAATTACTCAAACTAGCCGGGCCTGAGCCTGCTCACCCCGCCTCGCCCCTCCTTCCCGGGTAAACCACGAGAAGGCTCTCACCCCGTGCGGCCTCCCTCTGCCTCCGGACCGGCCCTGTGCGTCCCCTGCAGCCCCATGTGGCACCCCGCGCACCCTCCTCCTGGAACTGTGAGTAGGACTAGATTTTCAACGGTGGTCATCTCCTGGTCTGTCGGCCCTACTGTGCCTCAGACCGTCTATGAACACACGACACTTTAGAACACACCCCAGGACTCAGCCCTCACTGCTGTGTCCACGGTGGGAAGCCATTGCTGCAGTCGAAGCCGCCGTGCGTGCCCATCCCCCGGACCCCGGTCCCAGGCACAGGTGGGATGACACCCCCAGTGCGGCCCAGGACCACGTGCTCCAGCCTTTCGCTTCCTCCTCTGAGACCGGGAGGGGGCGGCTTCGGGAGGAGTTGGCTCAGCTCCCTAGCACGGCCCTCCGCCCCCCCCCCCGCCCCTCCGCCCCTCCGCCCGAGGTCCTCCCTGGCCCCCGGCTGAGTCCGCAGCCCCTCCACCAGCCCCCAGCCGCCTGCCCGCACGTCTGTTACCGCAACACCACGCTGTCCGTGATGATGGGAAGAGCCCGGCACACCGACAGCGTAAGTCACGGAGACGGTCTTTTTCATCTTTACGTCCCCAGGCCTGGCACACGGGGGGACACTTGAAACATCGATTTGTTTTTGATTCACAGATTAATTAACTAATTAATGGACTCCTGTCTTCATGCTACGCTGCATCTCAATGCCTATATTTGACTCTTGAAGTCATGCTCTCTGCTGATGCACATTCCTGGTTTAAGCAAAAGGCATTTTTCTTATTTTTAAATGTTGGCGGACTTTCGAAGTGAGATCGCATCATCTCCAAACTGCTCGGGGAGATGTGACAATATAAGGAGTTCTCGGCTTGGCTACGTGGTTTTTAAGCGAAGTAAGTGCCACCTGCCGTCAGCAGCGTGACCTCATCAGATGCCTCCTCCATGAGCCTGAACAGACACCTGCGCACGGGAACCACTGTGAGGACCCCGTGGCTCTCCAGCCAGGGCCGCCCCTGCTGCGCGCTGACCCCTGCCGCCCCCTGCGGCCCCCTGTGGCCGTCACTAGCGGGAAGGGCATGGACTCTGCGGTCGGCCCAGGTCCCGTCCCGGCTCGGCTCCTCCTGCCCCCAGGGACGCGGAACACCTCCCTGAGCCATCCCCTGTCTGCAGTACGGCACTGTGGTCACACACCTGTTGTGACCTGCTTGTGCAGACCCCTCCCCCGCCTTGAGGGCCGCGGTTTTCCGCTGCTCGGCCAGAAGCATGTTGACCTCCTCTCTGGCCAGAGCCACCTCGAGCGGCTCCGCGGACTCGCCCTTGTCCCCATCCGCATCGGCCTCTGCCGGCTCCTCATCCCTCTCTGGCGTCCCGTCACTGTGCGCGTGCTGGTGGGTCTCCTCCCGCTCCCAGCTGCAGCGGCAACAGAGGGGTCGGGGGTCAGGGTGCAAGCCACGCCCAGGCTGGTCTACCCGCAGGCCTGGGCAGAATTGGGTCTGCAGCCTCGTCTCTTCTACACTTGTAAAACACGAAAAGGCATGAACAAAAACTGGAAGGAAATAAAGAGGCAGTGACCATTAAGTAGGATTGCCGGACAATTTAAGCACAGGATTCCCCTGCCTCCAAGCCCAGCTCTGCCCGGGGACCTCGGGCCACCTGTATGCAAACGCGCCCCCACTGAGCCCAGCACCCTCGGCCGTAGGAGGGCAACAGTACACCGGGGCTCTGAGGATTGACGTGATGACCCCCACTCAGGGCAAAACCTCAGAGGGGCACAATGGGCACCAGGGGGGAAGAACGGCAGGAAGGGAGGACAGAACAGAAGCAGCAGGGCTGGGCACAACGCATGGAGGGAGGACATTTCCTGGTGTAAGAATTCCCCCGGTGCAGATATCACGCTGTTTGTATAACTCAGAAAATAAACAGAAAGGAGGAAGCAGCAGCAGGAGGAGGAGAAATGTGGGGAGGACGGGACAAGAAAGCGCTCAGCGTTAAGTTACCGCAAGCAGGGGAAGCCAGGCGTCCCATTTTGTGCAGGGCAGGACCGGGCACACCTGCTCCCCGTGTGACTGTAAATAGCACCCCTTCCCCCTTCAAACGCGTCCCACTCCAGATGACAAACAGCACGATCAGTCCCTCCATATGTGGTCAGTCTATTCACAGTAGGTACAAATAGCGAGAACGTGTGGAACGGCAGAAGAGTCCTGGCCTGGTGGGTGTGCAAACCCACATCCCCTCTGAGCCTCAACGTCCTCTTCTGTGAAATGGGGTTGATCCTAACCTGCCAGGGCTGGCTCTGGACTCCAGCGTGGGACAGAGAGATCACAGGGACCCGGAAGCCTTCCCCCACCCGGCCCAGCTTAGCTACAGGGGCAGGAGAGCAGGGAGGGATTGGGCCAAGAGTCCTGCCCGGGAAGAGAGGGTGCCCTTCACTGAAGTTCCCCCTTGGCAACCTGCAGGCTGTAGAGAGAAGCTGGACGAGCACACAAGAGGAACTCCTCGTGTTCTGGCTGGCCTCCTTGCCCCATGGGGATGGTAAGTGGGCACACTCACTCTGCAATGGTCAGCAGGTAGCACGATGTGTCAACGTGCAGCTCTATATTGGTGTTCTCCAGCTCCACCAGGCTGCGCCGCATCTCCAACTCCTCCTTGAAGGCCCCGATGAGCTGCGCCCATATCTTGTTCATCTGCAGGCGGCTATCCTCCTCTCCATCGTAGGGGGGACTCATGACTGGGGGCAGGAAGAGAGCCAGCTGCCCCAGGAGCAGTGCTACCTAAGCCAGGGTTGAACTCCATGCTTGCCCACCAACACAGGGTCTGCACCAAGGAGGAACTCCATACACATGTTTGGATGGATGGATGGATAGATGGGTGAAGGATGGATGGATGGACAATGGATGGGTAAATACTGGATGGATAGGGGTGCCTGGGTGGCTCAGCGGTTAAGCGTCTGCCTTCAGCTCAGGTCATGATCCCAGAGTCCTGGGATCAAGCCCTGCGTCGGGCTCCCTGCTCAGGGAGCCTGCTTCTCCCTTTCCCTCTGCTCCCCTGCTCCTGCTCTCTTGCCCTCTCTCAAATAAATAAATAAATAATGGATGGATAGATGATGGATGAATGGGTGGGTGAATGATGGATGGATGGATGGATGGGTAGATGATGGATGGATGGATGAATGGGTGGGTGAATAATGGATGGATGGATGGATGGGTAGATGATGGATGGACGGATGAATGGGTAGGTGAATAATGGATGGATGATGGATGGATGGATGGGTAGATGATGGGATGGATGGGTGAATCGGTAGGTGAATAATGGATGGATGGATCAGTAGATGATGGATGGTTGGATGAATCGGTGGGTGAATGATGGATGGATGGATGGACAGATAAATAGGTGCATGAATAATGGATGGATGAGGAGATAGATGTGGAGATATGGATGGAGAGATGGATAGATGGATAGGTGGGTGGATAGGTAGATAATTGGATGGATGGTTTAGATGGTGCCTGGTTTGGGGTCAGATTACCTGGATTTGAGTCTCAGGGATCCAAGGAGGGGTGTGACCGCTAGCCATCTGAGCTCAGACCTCACTTCCTCATGGAAACCCTCCCAGATTCTCAAGCTGGGTCCACCTGCCACTTGTTCTGATAACATCCTGCCTTCTCCTTCACAGTCCTCTGCATATCGATAATTGATAAATGTTTTGTGACACATTTGACACCTCTTTCCTGCTAGAATGTAAGTTCCACAGAACAAACTAGTTTTGTCTTTTTGTTTCCCGTGTAAGTCCCTACCTAATAGTTGTCCACGATTAATTGATGGTATTCCCCGACTGCCCCATTGGTAGCTCCACTCTGGCCACACATGGTCTATTCCCCTGACCTGGAGGGCAGGGATCAAGGGGCACCTTTTCCTTAAATGCCAAGTGATCTGAGATGGGCAAAATGAGCAATGTGTCCAGAGACTGGACCCTTGTGGTCATTACAACAAGATTTTGGGGGAGTACTCGGTACCCTGGAAATTCTCATAATGCTCCTGGCAGAGGCATGCACACAGTGTCCCACTGCCACAGGACGCAAGGGAAGCCCGTCATGCCCTCAGGGCTCACCATGAGACCACCACCCCCTTACGATGTTGCCCGCCTCCCCAGTACAGACCACCTAGGACCAGCCCCAATAATTAAGAGGCCATCAGAGTGAAGGCCCTTATGGCATGCATCCCTATTCAACCCCGGCCCCAAAGAAGCTGAAGCGTCCTGGTCACCACCTAGCTTTGCAAATTCTCTACAACAACCCATCTTCTACCCCCACCGGCCTCCCAGCCCTCCACTGGCCCCGTGGGACTCAGTCTGCCATCAACAACAGCCCCTCTTCATGGAACACTTCCTTCACCTTCTTGCTCCAACAGAACCCTGAGCCCTCCAAATCACCTAAGACAAATGGGAACCCATGTGCCCAAGGAGGCTGAGTAGCTGGAAAGCCCCAAAAGACCCATCAAGGAGGATGAGATACTCAGACTCTAGTGGAATGCTCCACGGCTGTTAGAAAGAATGGGGCAGACCCACTGCGCAGGTGGACAGCCCCCAGGACTCACCGCTGGGTGAGGAAAACAAGGAACAGAGCAACGGCCATAGGCTGGTGTCACTTACCTAACAGCCCGAAGCCGATCCCCTGCCCCACGCGCACATGCGCACAAACCACGTGTCCCTCTCTGGGGACGCTGCACAGAACACAGTCCAGACAGGCTCACATCAAAATGACAGCAGTGGCCTCAGGGAACGCCCCCTCTTCCCAACGTTTAGATACAACTACTGATTTATAGGAACTCAGAGCACAGAGCTGTCGGCAAATCCACGGGACAAATGACTCAGTTTCTTCAGCAAGAATCAAAAGGAAAACCACAAAAAGGAAGAGGGGATGCCCGCTTAATAGAAGAGACCACATTTGAGGTGTGGCCTGATGACACCAATGGGCTTGCTAGAAACATGCACGCCTACCAACCCTAACCCTTCGAGATGATGGGATGGGGGCCGCGTGGGAGGACAGAGCGAGTGAGCCTGGCAAGGAGTGGCGGCTCTGGTCGGGGGCTGCCATTCTGGCCTTTCTCCTCCACCAGTGTTGGAAATTCCCATAACAAAAAACATGAGCCGCATGCCTGCATGGGGTTGGGCTGCACAGACGGGCCTGCCCTGCCCTCCCCTCCCTAACGCACCAGTTTGCTCATCCGGACCCCCTTGGGGGGCACACTACGGTCCCAGAGCCTCCTGGGCACAGGAGGGCACGTGCCTCGTCGCAGATCTGGAGGGCTGAGAGGGCGGGGCAGGGAGCGCACACACTGTAAGTGTGAACATTTGCCACTAAGCTGGCCTCCCAAAGACACAGGGTAATTCACACGCCCAGGAGGAGGGTTTCTGCTGCCATCTTCATCCTGCATTATAGCATCCGTTTACTAGGACCTGACGTTGTGGCTTTAGCCAACCCGATAAATGAAAATTGTTTCAATGTGTGTCTGTTTCCTGACGCAATTAAGAATCTTTCCCTGTGGGCACCTGGGTGGCTCAGTCGTTGAGCGTCTGCCTTCGGCTCAGGTCATGATCCCAGGGTTCTGGGATCGAGTCCCACATCGGGCTCCCTGCTTGGCGGGGAGCCTGCTTCTCCCTCTCCCACTCCCCCTGCTTCTGTTCCTGCTCTTGCTATCTCTCTCTGTGTCAAATAAATAAATAAAATCTTAAAAAAAAAAAAAATCTTTCCCTGTGTTTATTGGCCACTAGGAATTCTCTGTATCACCTATTCATTTCCTCACTCAGTTTTGGACTGCTGGTTCTTTCTTATTGGTTTTCAAAAGTCCTTTATTTATTATGGCAAAGCTTATCTTAATCAGCTAAAAGAACACATATGTATATAGGTATGTATGTATATATACACACATACATATACCTGACTTTCTTACCGGCATTTTTAAGGGTACCTTTTTAACTTACTGATTAGTTTTATAATTTTTGGAAGAGCTATGATATGCTCACCCCTAAGGTAGGCCTACCGAAGGCTGCTTTGGGAAGAAGCAGGGAATGGAGAGAAACTGTGTGATGGGCATGGGGTCTGCTCTGGGGAGGCAGGAATGCTCCGGGACCAGATGGAGGTGGTGGCCACACGGCACTGTGGATGAGCCTCGAATGCCGTGGAACTGTGCATGTGAAGATGGTGAATTTTAAGTTGTGTGAGCTTTGCCTCAGTAAATAAATACAAATTTAGATGCTGACATTAGAGGAAGTGAAGAACTCTCTGTACTACCTGCAACTTTTTTTGTAAATCTAAAATCATTCCGGAATGGAAGATTATGTTTTTAAAGAAAAACGGATCTGGGAGGAAGGAAGAAACAAAAAAGTGGGGAGATGAGAGGAGAGGAAAGGTAGGAAGGAAGAGCTCAGGAGAAGGCAGGGAAGGCGGCCGCTTGCCCCGCATGCTGCGGGCCAGGAGATGGAAGGCAGCGCGTGGTGGGCTGGGACTGAAGCCCACGGCCACGGCCATGCGTCCCAGGCAGGGGATGGCAAAACGACAGGGGCCCCAGCAGCTCGGCTCTACCTCACACATCCCGGACGCCGGGTTCACCTCTCTTCTCCACCTCCTGCGTCTCAGTTTTGGATTGGAGGCGCTCGATCTCCCTGCGCAGGTCAGAAATGACGTCCGTATACTGCGCGATGCAGTAGGACACGTTCAGGAGATTGCGCTTCACCTGGTGGGTGGGACCCACGGCCAAGGTCAGAGCAAGTGGGAACTGCCCCACCATGAGAGGTATTCATGCTACAAGGACTCCGGCACATTTTGTTAGGAAAACTCAGATCGATACAACTTAGCCTTAAAGACAAAGGGAACCGGACCCCTGCCCCCACAGGGACGAGCCCCAAGGACACGAGCCAGACACAGAAGGACATGCACGGGGACCCCACTCACACGAGATCCCAGAGTCGCCAGACTCACCGACACAGAGAGTAGATGGTGGGGCCGGGGCTGGGGGAGGGGGGGGGTGGTCCGTGCATCATGGGGACAGGGTCTCTGCGTACGGGATGGAACGTTCTGGAGCTGGATGGGGGGGGATGGTGCCCCTGAACTGGACGCTTAGAAATGGTTAAAGTGGCAAATTTTATGTCATGCGTATTTTGCCACAGTCGAGAAATTTCAAATGATCCGTCAAGAGTTTTTTAAAACCCCTCCCCTTGGGTAAGCACTGCGATCACTTTCATCTGTGCCCTCTGGACCGTCCTCTGTGAGGTTTTGTGCGTATATACGTATCTGCAGAGACACACACGGGGAGTTTCTTGGTGTAGGCTTGGCTTTGGTTTTTTATGGAAATTTTATCAGACCAGGGCTGTTATTTTCTTTTTCACGTTGTTGTGTTTTTTGTTGTTGTTGTTGTTGTTTTAAAGGAGGCTCCAGCCCAACGTGCGGCTTGAACCCATGACCCTGAGATTGAGAGTTGCACGCTCCACCTACTGGGACACCAGGCGCCCCCCAGAGCTATTCTTCTCTAACTTGCTTTCCTCACCCAGCGCTGTGGCCGGGAGGCCGTCCGTCTGCACAGACGGGTCTACCCCATTCTCTCTGAAGCTGCACAGTGGTCCACGGGAGGGACGTACCAGTTTGCACGCCCTGTCCCCTTCCATGGGCACTTTGGGGCTTTCGAGTAGAGCACATGGGTCCGAGTTTCTCTCTGGTGGGTTTGGAGGGTGCAAGTGCTGGTCTCAGGCTGAAGAGAGGCGCTTGACCACCCCGCGTCTGCACACCCTGCCCTCCCTCACTCGGGGCCCTGCATCCTTGACCGAGCCTCTCAACTCCATGTTCTCGGCCACTCTTCCTTGCAGCACCCTGTGGCTCCCGTTTACAGCACGGACCACAGTTGGAAGGGACGTACTCATCTGTGGGGGGTCGTGTTTGTCATCTGCCTCGCCCCGCAGCGAAGCTCGAGGTTCGGCTAAGAGAGAGGCTGTCCTGGCGCCTCGCTCAGAGCCCGCGGCAGGAAGGGCTCATCCCAGGTTTGTTGGCGAGGATCACACCTCCACTCGCTGACCACTAGCATATGTCCCTGAGCCCGTGTCCAGCCTTCCAACGCGAGTCCTCTACACTGAGCACAGCAGTGCAGCCTCCAGATCGAGGCGCTCTGCGCCACAATGCCCAGCTCTGCTCGGGCTCTGGAAGGCTGGAGAAGTGGCTTTCTCTCTCTCCGCGCTTCAGCTGCCCAGGCTGCAGAACGGGTTGATGACAGGCCCCACTTCCCAGGGAGAAGGAGGTAAAGAATTAAATCAAGACATCTAGTGCTCACAGTGCGCCTGGAGGTCGGTTAAGTCCATGTCGTAAACACCCCAAACCCAGATGTAATTAGGGATCTTGAGATGAGACCCTCCTGGATTCGGGGGGCCTGAAACCCAAGGCCAGTGTCCCCATCAGAGGAGAGAAGGGAGAAACAGAGAGGTCAAGCACCACACGCCCAGCATGGCCAGGAGCCCCAGGTGGAAGGGACCCTCCCCTAGAGGCTCCAGAGGGAGCGCGAGTGAGAACTTAGCAAGTGGGGGCCTCACCCGCGTCTTGATGTTCTTTGCCCTGTAGGCGTACAGCAGGGTGGTCCGGGACTCCTCGAAGGACGTGCTGGCTGGGCTGATGTGCACGATCATCACTGTGCGGCTGTTCCCTCCTAGGGCGTCCTGCTCAGCGGAAGGTCCAAGGTGGGGGTAAGGGGAACGGGGCCCCCACCTCCCGTCCCAGGCCCCTCTGGACCAGCCCTCTGCGGTTCCTGCTCCAAACCCCGAGAAAGGCAGGTGATGCCAGGACCAAGGGTTTGGTGCTCAGGGAGGGGACGCTAGGACGAAGTGAGATCTGTTCCCGGCCCACCCCGTCAGACTTCTGCTCCGATGAGAACAGAGTAGACTGCGAAGCCGAATCCACGGGAACGTTTACGTATTGCTTTGCCTGTCTGTTCACCTACACCCTTGCTACGGAATAGAGGGAACAGTGTCCAGCTCAGAACAGAGGGGACTGTCTCACTGACCATCCAAGATGGGACAGGAGGCCTCAGTAAGGTAGTGAGCTCCCTGTGGCTGGGAGCATGCAAGCCCAGGCTGGCCCCTACTCAGAGGGATGGAGCAGGAGTCAGGCAGTGACCAGCCGTGGTTTCTACGGGGTTCTCGTGCCTCCAGGGGTTCCTGGAGGGGCCCTGAGACCCAGGTCTGGGCGTCCCCCTGGCAGGGAGGCCCCGCACAGGCGGGCAGCCGTACCTTCAGCAGGCGCTTGAGCTTGCTGTCCCGGAAGTTCACGTACTGCGCCCGGCGGCCGCTTTTCTCGCTGAGCGCGTTGAGCAGTTGCCCAGAGCCAGCAGGGAGCGGCTGATGTGGGCGCCCTCCTTCCTCCTCTTGCCGTGGTTCTGGGTCTGGGCGGGAGAGGAGAGGTCGGGCGGTGCACTGACCCATCCCACCCCGGCCCAAGCGGCTCAGACCGCACGCACCGCACAGCTGGGGCCCCGAGGACACAGGACTCTGCGTGGAGGGGACACGGCCGATCTGTGCGCTGACAGTGACCACGTGCAGGGGCACCCCGACCTCACTCTCCGAAGCGGGGACCACGGCAGCCGGTCCCCCAGCCTATTTCCTCCACCGCTTGACTTCCCCGGCAGCTGCCTTGCTCTCTGCCGCATCCGTCTTCCCTCCCGCTCCCCACTGGATCCCAGGCTCCATGGAGGCCAAGCGTCCCCGGAGCCCAGGCCTCAGCGGAGTCCGCACAAAGGAGCCAAAATGCCCTTGGGATGAACACCTCTGAGTGCAAGCACGGCAGGGACTCTAACTTTCTTCCCCTTGCCCGTATTTTCCACATTTTCTGTGCTGTGTTTCTAATACATTGGAAATCAAAAAAAAAAAAAAAAATTTCTTTTTCTCTTTAAGGGCATGGGTTTTGGAGCCAACCTGGAGCATGGTTTGCAAATCTCTGATAGATCTCCCAGTCTGTCCCACCTTCCTCATTTGCCAAAAGGGGCAATCTCCCAACTTCACGGGGTTACGGTGAGGATTTAGTGCGCAACATGTGCAACAGGCCTGCTCAGGCCTGGGCCCACAGAGGCAAGCAGTAAACGCCAGCTACTATGGTCATTATGTGGGAGCCGGTGCAGGGCAGGACCGCAGCTGCTGGTGTCTGGGTCACAGAGTTCAAGGCCTTCTCAGAGACCTCGTGCCCTAGAACAAAGTCTTTTACGAGTGATTTTCTATGAAGAAATGACAGCTCGCGAGAGCCAAGCAGATTGTAAAAGTCGCACACGTAGGCCACTTGAATAGACAACTAAACCAAAACCAAGGCCCAGAGAGGGGCAGTGGCTTACCCAAAGGCACACAGCAAGTCAGAGCAGAGCGAGAGCAAGGACCCAGACCCTGGACCCCTTCCCTGCAACCCTCTCCATCTTGTCCTGTGGACGCAGCTGGGCTCAGCTAGAACAGGCCAGAGTCCCAGACCTCTGTCGCACGGGGCTCTCCCTGCATGAACGTGTCTGCACCCACATCTGTCCGTGGGTCAGCCATGTCCTTTATTCTTCGTGCTCTGATGTTTGACATCTGGAGTCCTTGCTGACCCTGGAGGGACTGCCCCTCCCAGCATTACCAATTCCCGGAGATACCGAACAAGCCTTTCAAATGCAAACCGCCAGCCCAGAGCCCACACCCCCGCCACCTGACGCCAGGCCCCTGCCCTAATCCCCCAGGGCCAGGGACCAGACAAACAGCCATTATGCCCCAGGCCCCTGGAATTGCTCAAACTAGCTGGACCTGAGCCTGCTCACCCTGCCTCGCCCGTTCCTTCCCGGGGAAACCGCCAGAGGGTTCTCGCCCACAGCATGCCTCCCTCTGCCTCCTGACCGGCCCTGGTGCTTCCCTGCGTGAAATCCCGAGGCCCCTCTTCTTGGAAAACTGTGAGTAGCACTATCTTTCCAACAGCGGTCATCTCCGGGTCTGCTGGCCCTACTGTGCCTCAAATTGTCTATGAACACACGGCATTTCAGACCAGTCTGCCCCCGGCCGCTGCCCTGGCCCTGCTCACTTCAACTCCCGGAGCGCCGAGGGCAGGGCAGCGAACGGATGAGACGACTCAGTGGTCAAACCCCAAAGACGCAGAGCATCTGGCGCAAACCAGGGGACAACTATCCCAGCAGTGGACCGCAGGGATTTGGGCAAGATGCCCAGGTCCAAAGCCTGGATGCAGCACTGAACACGTCGTGCATGGCCAAGTCGCGGCACCGCCTGGGTCCCGGCCCCGCATCCGCTGCCCACCTTATCCTGTGCTGGGGGATTAGGGGGATTACACCTGCTAAGGTTTGGTGGTAACATTACCGTGTGGACACCGCCTCTGTCCAGCACCACTCTGTGCCTGGCCCTGGGCTGGGTCCTGCCCTCAAGGAACGCTCAGGCCACTGCGGCAGCACAAGGTAAAGCACAGCCCCGGCTCCCAGCGACAGGTGCCTCCAAGCACAGGCGAGCCAAGAGCTCGGGGGCAGGCAGGTGGGACCCTCGGAAGGACTGTTGGGGCTGGAGTACACTGGGCGCCATCCTCCCAACAGCCATGCTTTGCACACGCAGTTCCCTCCATCTGACATGCCCTTCCTCGCACCCCACCAAACTCCTGATGACCCTCTCAGGCTCGGCCCTGAGACCGCACGCCACCACCGGGCCCCCCTCCGGGCCCCCCCAGCCTCTGTGCGGACCCGGAATCTCCAAGCACAGGCCTCCCCGTGCCGTGATTATCGGCTCACGCAGAGGCTTGGCACTCCCTCGGGGTGGGTCTGGGCGCCGATCATGGTCAGGAGAGCCTGCCACGCGGCAGTCGTGAATCCATAAATACCGGCTCTGTGGGCTTCGCCCCTCGACACTCGGGACCACTCACTCCGTTGGCGGCTCGGCGCTGCCCTGGGAGCCGCAGAGGCTGTTGGACGAGGAGGGGCAGGGCCCCGCTCGCGGCGGACTGTGAGGGGGTGAGTAGCTGTGGGGGCGTGAGAGGGGGCGGGGGGGACGCCAGCGAACCTGCGACGCCCGCTCCGAGCCGGCCAGGTCCACCAGGAAGAGCCTCCTGACACGCACTCCCTCCAGCGCGTCTGCGCCGCGGTTCCGCCGCCAAACGGTGACCTGCAGCACGGCGTGGGCGCGGGAGAATGTCCTGTTGGCGGCCGTGGGCTCCTGCGTGCGCTGCCGACTGCCCTTGGTGAGGAGCTGCACGATCTGAGGACACAGGCGAGTTGGGTGGGTAGCCACACGCGCCCTCCAGATCCACGCGGGGCCGGGGGGGAGCGCTGGACCCTGAGCCCTCTTGGGCAGCTCTTCGCAACAGAACTTCGTCCAGCGCAAGCCATTTCTGGTTTGCGGCACGGAGCGACTAAGCGATCGAGCCAACCAATCCAGACACTTGTGTTGCCCTCCCCCTCCTCTGCCAGGGCAGACCCGGCCACTGGATCACCCACGTCTTCCCCAGAGAGCCGGTCCCAGAACCTTCCAGCGCGGAACCCCGTACGGGCTCGCCGGGGTTGGCAGGTGGGCTGCAAGCCATTTGTGTGTAAGCCGCCGGGCGGGAGCCATGCCGATGAGCCTCAACGGGCCACCTGCCGTGTGCCGGGCGGTGCTGGGACCGCAGAGCATGTGGGGGATTTCAGACGGGCTGGGACTGGCTGGGGCGCCGCGTGGGAAGGGGCTCAGGCGCAGGGGGAAGAACGGTGGTCTATCGGCGATGTCTGCCCTGAGTGCACCGTCCGGCACCCCATTAGCCGGGAAACAGCGCGGGGCCATGTGTCCAGCTCTGCTCCGTGAGCTCTGGCGAGCGTGGCCGCCGAGGCCCAGGCCCCCTTCCCTCCGTGGGCCCCCGTGCCCCTCACCTCCTGGGCGTTCGAGGTGGAGACCTCCATGATGCCTGCGATCTGGATGCTGCCCCGAGAATCCTCCCTCAGGTCCAGGAACCCCGAGGATGGGCTCAGGGGATCCCGGATCACTTCGTTATAAATCTGGGAGGAGAGACACAAGCGGGACAGGCAGCAGCCTCGGGGCAAAGGCAGCACAGGGTGTAGGTCTCCCGAGAAGGCTCCGACGCCCCGAGGGCCAAGGTCTCCCCGAGGCTGGCGGGCAGGCTCACCTCCAGGTAAGACATGGACACACTGCAGTCCGCGTTGTCGCGGCTGTCCTCGATGGCCCGGAAGAGGTCGGTGAGGGTCTGCAGGTAGATGCCGGGCTCGGCGTCCGTGCCCAGCATGGTGTGGGTCTTCCCTGCGCCTGTGGGCAGGAGGACAGCCGCCAGGGCGGGGACTCCTGAGGCAGGCTCTGACCCCGCCTGGACACGCGCCACCACGAGATGGTTCAGACCTCTGCCACCTTGGGCAAACGGTCCCGAACACTCAGACGCGCTTGTGTTCAGTTTTGGAAACCAGGGGGGAAGCCCGCAAGAGTCCAATGGCTCCCCTGCAGAAGAAACCGCAGACGCGGGAGACACGGGACCGAAGCGCAGACGTGGGCCAAACGGGCCGGGATGAGGGGCGACCACCGGGTGCGTGCTCCTCCCCCAGCTCTCGGGAAGATGCGGAAGCCGTTCCTACAGTCGCCGGACTCACGCCTGTCACAGGGACACCGCTGCCCCCGCCCCTGCCCCCGAAAGACCAGACAGCCCCTCCTCCGCCAGAGCCTGGCACACAGCGCGTGCTCCCTAACGGCTACTGAGCGAACGGATGACATCCACAGGCTGTGACTCCGGACCAGGTGCTTCCCAGCCTCCGTTTCCCCAACTGCCCCGTCCCTCTGTGATCCTAGTTTTCAGGACTCGAGAGGTGGCTCAGCTTTGTGGACAGTGTCGAGCCCAACTGCTCGTCCTTGTGGAGAAATCTGTGGGTCCTCGCAGGCAGCAAGGTGCAGGCGCGGCTGGACCCCACATGCACTCCTACCAGCCGTGTGAGCCCCTGAGGCTCAGCTTCCCTGCGTGTGGCAAGGGGGCGCTCTACCTGCCCGTGGGGCCGCGACGAGGCTGGAAGGAGCCAACGGGCGCAGGGAGACCAGCACATGCTGGTGCACCGCAGGTGCTTTGTCCGGGAGGGAGAGCGCCCCTGCCACCAGCCCCGCGCCCTCCCGGGCCCCTGCCCTCGGCGGTACCTGAGGGGCCGTAGGCAAACACCGTCGCGTTGTATCCAGAAATGACACCTTCCACCAGGTGCTGGGGGGTGGCATGATACACGCCTTCCTGTGGACGGATGGAAGGACAGACAGCGGGATGTGCGGCCTGGCCAGAGTCGGACAGGCGTGTGACGGGACCCTCAGGCGGGGGCCGGTCTAGACAGGGCGTGGGCTGCGGTCTCCGTCCTGCCGCTCTGCCGCCCCAGGGGCTGAGAGGGGGCCGGGCCCCCAGAGCACAGCCGTCAGGGAGGATCACACGAGAGCGCAGGACAGCTCCCGCCACGAGGCCTGACACGGGTCTGGTGCTGGACGCAATGGGGCTTCTCAGGAGCCGAGAGAAGCCCGACAGGTGCCTGGGACCGGAAGGCAGCCCAGGACTTGCAAGTCTGGGAAGAGCATCAGGACTCCTCCTCCTGGGACAAAACCAGGACCGACGCCTGAGCACCTCAGTCCGGCAGAATCCCACATAAGGCAGCAACGCCTAGCAACAGGTGTGGTAGTGAGCTCCCTGCCCACAGGGGTATTCAAGAAAGGACACCTCCAGGTGCGTGGACGTGGCTGGCCCAGACAGAAACGACAGTCCCATCTCTGCTGCCCTTCCTGGGCGCCCATCTGGACCCTGCTGCTGGCGTCCCCGAATTGTCCCAGTAGCCCCGGCCGGCGACGCAGCTCACGGCGGCTGGAGGCAGACCTGAGCACGGGGACTGCTCTCCTGAGCTGTGGACTTACACCGTCAGCGGCTGAGAGCTGGCCTGCAACCCCCTAGCTGTGTGACCTCAGGCTAGGAGCCTCGGTTTCCCCATCTGTAAAATGGGGACCACATCACAGGACGTTGCAGAGGGCTGCTGAGGGGCTGGCAAGACCGTGTGCCCCAGGACGGCAGGCAGCCACTGCTCAACGTGCCTCGGCAGGCAGCCACTGCTCAACAGATGCTGATGGCCAGCCCCCTCCTACTTGCAGCCCCAGGGAGATCTCAGGGGTGAAAGCCGCGAGTCCACTCAGAAAGCAGCCGGCCGGCCACGCGGAGCAAATCCGTCCTCTTTCTAGCTACGGCCGCGTCCCGAGGGAGGGCCGGTGTGTCCGAGACAAGCCGTGCCGGGGCCCAGCGGGCAGCTGCAGGGGCAGGGTGGGCAGGGCTGGACTGGGCTCGGGGCCAAACATCCTCCAGACACCATACCTTGGCCGTGCGACAGCCCGTCTCCAGAAGCCTGAGTTCAAATCCTGCTCTGCCGGGCCCCCCGGGCTCTCCCAGGCGGGGGTCTGGTGCGTGCGACCTGACGCTGGGCCCAAACGTCTGAGGAAGGGGCCGGCTGAAGCCTGCGCCTGGGCCCCTCGTCCCTGCTGCTGCCCTGGGGGGGGTCCCTGTGGGCAGGGAGCATGCTCCAGCCACATGGCAGAGGGGACCCCGCCTTGTTGTCTGGACGGACGGACAAATGAGAACGTGTGTGAACCCCGGGGCCTCCCGCTACCTGCCCCTGGGACGGCCCACGTGCCAACCTCGTTGTTCAGCAGGGACACTCCTGTGACAAGTCATGGACGGGACCACCTGGCTACCAAGCCCTCCCAGGGGGGCTCCAGGGTCTGGTGAAGCCCCGTGGGAGGACGCAGGGGGCGTGGGGCGCGGGGTACCTGTGACGCATGCTGGTCGAAAACAGTGTTGAAGATGAAGGTCTTCTCCCGCGACCGGTGTGCGCACAGCGTGTCCTCGCCAGGGTCCATGAGCACCACCATCTAGGGCAGCGGGAGGGAGGTGTCAGAGGAGGGGCTGCTCCCAGAATCAGGGCGGACGCGTGCACCCTGAAGGACGCCAGGCCTGGCCTTGCTCAAGGACACCGGGGGTGGGGGGGCTTGGTCTGTGTCCCAGGAGGGCAGCCGGCCTCTGTGCTCAGCCAGGCGGGGGGTCCTCCAGCCCCGGGCACCCTCTCCGCTTCCTGTCCAAGCTCCTGCACCCCTGGGGTCTGCTGAGCTCTGTCCCCCAGCACCCAACCAACAGGGACAGGGCCCTTTGATGAACGGCAGGAAGAAGGGATGGCAGGAGCTGCTGTGCTCCATGCCCCCCATCCCCCGAGCTGCCCGAGCGTGCGTCCATGCCCCACCTGTCTACCCTCCAAGCTCTGCAGCCCCCTCTCTGCTTCTCCAAACCAGCGTGCACGGTGGCCCCCTCCCCAAGGCCTCTGCCCTCTCACACAAATACATAATTTTTTTTTTTTATTTGCGAGAGAGAGAATGAGAGACAGAGAGCATGAGAGGGAGGAGGGTCAGAGGGAGAAGCAG